ACCTAAACTTATGTAAAATCATGAAATCCATACACGTTGCATATCTAACAAAGGAATACGAAAAAAACTATGGCAAAACCTATGTATTTTTGGATCTAACACCTCTACAAGAAGAAAAAAAAAAAAAAACATATGAAAACTTATGCTAAACAAAAACTTGGCGTGTGGAAGAAGATTTCTCATCTTGGACGGCGTTGGAGCGGTGAAGAGGACCCAAAAGGTGAAGCGGACCCAAAATCGCCATAAAAGCTCGGAAGCGACGAGGGAAAGCCGGATGAGAAGAAGAAGAGTTCGAGCGTGAAGTGGAGCTGCAGTTCGAGGGATCCTTATTTTAGGGCTTTTGCATCTGACTTAGCGTTTGCTAATGTCGACGCTAATAATTAGTAATTTTAGTGTCAATTATAACAGACCCAATTATGAGGCTAAAACGTTGATTTAGCATCCTCCCGTCGAAGCAACTCATATGTGTCTATTCTTTTAGGAGCGGAACCACGAGCAACGATAAACATACACTAATTTTGAGGCGAGCGACGATAAACAGACACTAATTTTGAGGTTGAAATAATTTTGTTGCTAATTCACAATTTTCCCGTAATCTGTGTATATGTGTATCTCTTATGTTTACATATACATACATACATATATATAGATCGATACATATACATACATATATATATATATATATATATAATTATTTACATATGCAACACATAAACTTTATAGATGAACATATGAATCATTTAAATCTTAATATATGTACATATAGAACTTCTGCATTTGAGAAATATATATACAAAATTTTCAAATTACTATGTATTTGCATATATAATATCCTAAATGTATTTTCACGGATTTTTCTAATTCTTACAATAATTTACATACATACCACGTAAATTCAAAATATAAACTTGAGAATGTCTAATAATTGATAAGCTTGAATTATGTGAAAAGAACTTTCTAAGTTTCTTTGTAATTTTCTCTTTTATTTATTCTTATTTTTATTTTTCCAGATGTTTATGCAATTGCAGTATATATGTACTTAAAAGAGGCCTTAGAAGATGCTGGACCGAAATAAGTTTATATCCGTTTACGATGAAGCAACCCTAGCCAGCGAGAAAATATTACGTCTGGACGTCTAACTACTGGCCGCCACGTTGTCATACACCTCATCCGTGGCCGACGTGATGGTCAATGGCTGGTCGTCACGACGCACAGGGGTCCAGACGGCATTTTTTCTTAGCCAGCACTCCCAAGTTATCTTGAGTGGCGCCAAGACGTCGATATGTAATATATTTATGTATTTAACACTTAATTTTGAATGTAAGCTTGTTGATTTGTGTAATGGCTTATATTTTATAAACATGATGCTTAAAATATAAAGTTATAGATTATCCACTGCTTGCATATTGACTTACTCGACACTTATACCTACGCATGAAGTTGATGTTTTCTCTAATTCTTGTGTATTTACATATTTAATATCTAAATTTAAATGTATATAAGAAACTTAGAGATTTTGTAATCTAATATATTTACATATATTACACATAAGCCCAAATATAAGAATGCTAATTGTTTTTGTAATTACTGATGTGTGTTAGAATTTTTTTTTGCGGCAAGGTAAATAATTATCGTCCTGGCTAGTGTAACTCAGATAGAAGTAAGAATCTAGTAGCGACACTAGAAGTTTCTATGTGAAAACCCGTGGAAAAGGGAAAAAATCACGGGGTCTTGCCTTGTTGAAATGATTTATTATGTAAATTTTAGTACATGGGTCCACCATTCTCTTAAATTAGGGAAGATTAAGCTAAAAAGATAATAATTTTAAATGTAAAACTGTGGTTTGTTGATGATAGTCGTAGTCTAGCTGTAATGAAGTAATTCTTGATGAAAGTAAGCTGCAAGAGCAGTAGTCGGTTGCTATGAAGACAGTAATTTGTCATAAAATGTTGTTGGCGGTGTTTGTAGCACCAAATTGTCGCATAGAAAGTAGCTGAAATCCAGCATAGTTGCCTTATTGGCCACTAATATTGTGGCAGCATGCTGCAAGAATGGTGAACCGCGTAGGTTGTAGTTGGTCATATGAGATTTAGTGGTGAGCTGCAATGACGTTCGTAGATCGTAAATGCCAGAGTCAGGAGTAGGGCTGTCAACTTGTCTCGTCGTTCGCAAACAGCTCGTGTTCGGCTCGTTCTTTAATTTTTAAGCTCGAAATATAAACGAGTCGAGCAACAAACAAATTTGTTCGCTCGTGTTCGAAATGAATTGACTCAAAATGAAAGAAATAAATAAATAGATAAATAAATATATACACACATAAATAATATATATTCATATAATTAAATATTATAAATTATAACAAATTAAAATTTTTTGAATAAAAAATTTATCCTATTTTAAATAACTAAATATTATAAATTATAATATATAAAAAATTATTAATAATTGTATATTACTATTATTCATATAAATATCATATGTATATAATATAATTTATATAATTACTATAATATAATATATAACTAAAATACCCAAGGCCCCGCTCTCCCCTTCCGCCTCGAAACTTCTGGACGGTTCACGGGTTCGGCTGCCTCTCCCTCTTCTCTTCTCCTTCCTCTCAAAATCGTGAAAGGCTTTCGGCCGCGAGAGCTTAGGGTTTGCCATTTGTGTTTTGCTTCTAATATCTACTTCTTCTTCTCCTCGTACAGTCAGCGCTGGCTCGATTATGCGGTATTCATGCTTGGTCGCTGTTTGGCTACTGAGGTGTTATCTTTGAGCATCTTCTCTCTAATATTTAATATTTATCAGAGGGTTCGCCTCTTTGCTTAAATTGTCATAAATTTCTTTTAGATTTATTCATATTTTTTGAATGAAACTTTGTTGTTGAAGTTTTTTATTGATGAGATCAGTTATAAGGGTTTTGTTGTGAAATTTAGTATGGCTATTTTGCATTTGTGCGGTGATTCATACAGTTTTAAGCGTTTGTGCTGTGATTCGGCTATTGCCTATAGATCTGTTTTTTTTTAATGGATGATTTTGTGAAGAATACTATGCTTTCTTCCTTTTGTTTTTCAAAACAGTAAAACGCCTTTTACCAAAGGTTTTTTTTTAACTTTATCAGTTTCACTTTGGTGGTTTAAGGCATGCATTCTTGTGAAGTACAAGTACATGGATGTATTATAGGGCAGCTGCATGTACATGGATGTATTATTGTTTCAAAGGCCTAATTATCTTAGCAAAAACTGTTCATAACTCTGAAAATATGAGTAACATTCTTGGATATGGTGACTCTAATCCATATTTTACCTACCTGGGTGTCCAATATCTGTACACAAACATCAACCCCTGGTTGACAGAATTAGGGATTATTTTCCATTGTTGGAAAACTATATCCTTGTCTCTTGCTAGGAGATATCAACTTCTTAAAATTTTCAATTGGAACTTAACTGTGTGATGGGTAGGGCTCGCTTCCTACCCAAAGGCTGCATAAAGATGATCCACTCATGATGTTCTGAGTTTCTTTTGCATGTTTCCATTAGTAATAAAAAATGAATGCAATCTCTTGGGATACCATTTGCAAACCTGGGCATCTTGGGGCTTACGTTTGGGCTCGATTCACACCTTATCATTTGGCTTTATGATTAAGCTTAGTCTTGAAATTGCAAATGATAATGATCTTATTGCTACATTGATTAAAGTGAATACAATTCTTTTGGGAATTTCAAAGGAAAATCAGGAAAAAAAATTTCTAGAAAATGCTCAAAAACATCGTTATGGAGAATATCATTTAGTTCTTCTTTTCTGTTGGTGATCGAAGCAACATTAGCCTGCTATGAAAAAATGTAGATAATCCTTCATTTAAAATGATTTGTGAACTGAAACTTTATTATTTGCACAAAAGACAAGCTCTCAGTTACTCATCATACTCTTGGTTAGTTGGTTAGCAATTCAAAGTGCCTTAAAAGTAGTAAGCAAAATTACATTGAATTGGAAAGCAAAAGCTTTGTTTATATATTTATTATTTATCCTATTCTCTTGAACCGCAATTGAATTGGAAAAATTTTGTTTGGTTCAAAGACCATGCTCTTAAAATGTGCTATATTTGCTTGAAAGATTCTTATACGTGGGTTGAAAACAAAAGATGCCTTTGCTTTTTATTCTGCCAAACAATTATATAGCTTGGCAAAGTGTAACAAATTGACATATATGAGTTTCCATTAGCCCCATTCTTATGTTGTGCTTCATTCTTTGACGAGGGGAGGGAGGAAATGGTGCTAAACCCTATGAGTATCAAATGTTTTTACTGGAATTATAAGTGCTGCTTTTACTTTATGTTTTCTTTTGCTGTTCTCTAAAAGTATGCAGCTGCTCTAAGCTCTCTGAAAGTGATGAATAGTAAGCTTGGGGAATGAACTTGCTGTGCTAACTTGTGATATTTTTATAGTGTAAGGCTTTTATATGGCTGAATAAGCTTTTATATTGCCAATTATGCTATTTTCACTTGGTGAAAGTGTATAACTATTGTTTGGATTATATTTGTAAGCTTTGAATCGAGAGAGGTAGATGTAACTCATTTGGTACATGCAATGCTTGATTTGCAATTTTTTTATTACTTAAAGTTCTTGCCATTGAACTTGCTGAGTTTCTTTTTCCTAGATGTAACCCATTTGTTGATTTATGTCATGGTTAGTGAGTTCATTTTTAAACTATCTTTTATTTATGGGATCTCAAGATCTCAATAGATGCTTTGATTGAAGAATGTTTTTAGTTCTTCTGTAGGCAGAATTTTTACTTCCCATAGCTTTTATCCAATGGATCGGTCCTTATTTTGTCTTATGATTACATTTTGACATATATGAGTTTCCATTGGCCTCTTTCCTATGTTCTGCTTCATTCTTTGACGAGGAAAGGGAGGAAATGATGCTAAAGCCTATGAGTATCCAATGTTTTTGCTAACCAGATATTTATTTGAATTTTTTTTTTTTATTTATGTATTGGTATATTCATACACAATTGAAAGATTTAGCTCCTCTAATATTTGGGCTGTCTATTTCATTTTCAATATCTCTTCGTTTTCAGATGTTAGTGATGAAATTAATACATATCAAAATGTTAAATTTTATCTTTTATTTTTGATAAATTACCTACAAAATATCTCAAACATTAAAAAAAAATCATTTTGTATATTTTGTAAAAATTTGAAGATATGAATTTCTGAATTTCACCTCATTTTGAACACAATAAATTACTTTTACATTCAATCTTCATTTCTTTTAAGAGAAGGACTATTTTGATTATTATTTCAAGAGTTCAATGATTAAATTAGACATTTTATATTGCTATGATTAAAGGAAACCCCCGCTAATAGTTAAGGTTCATTTTGATTCATTTCTCCATTGACATACCAGAGGTATGGTTTGTATATTGAAATAAAACCTGAAAAATTTTTATGTCTTTCATGGATGATCTAGTCATGAATTTCATGCCATTATGCATGATTAGTTTTGATGTTGGGGGTAAGTTTTCCTAAATGGACTTGTAGAAGTAGGGGGCTCATAAAATAGTTTTAAATAACATGATAAAGTTTATCATTTTTTTGTCATATTTGAATGGCATTTTTTTTCTTGTAAAAAACAACTTATTAAGGAGCCACTTATCTTTTTTTGTGCAATCTAAAATTTATATTTTTCTTGTGACTCTAAAGTCTAAATTCAAAATTTGTCATCTTTATTTTCAACATGGTGATCATTGTTGCTTACCCTAATTGTTAGAAGGTGGAGAGAATGATGAAAGACTGCACCATTGCTTGATAGCGATACTAGTTCAAGCAAATAGGTGCCTATATGTTGACGAGAGAAGCGAATATTAAAGGAAAGGAAGATTTAAGTACAACAACAACAACAACAAAGCCTTAATCCAACTACGTGGGGTCGGCTACATGAATCCTTTCTCTCCATTGCGTCCTATTTAGTTCTAGTAAATTACGATCATTTTTTATACAATAGGCTAAATTTTCTTGGTCTACCTCCGCCTTTCTTAACACAATTCGAATCTAAAATATCTATTCTCCTAATCGGATCATCAGATGGTCGACGTTTAATGTGACCAAACCATCTAAGACTACTTTCTCTAATTTTGTCTCTCACAGGAGTTATACCAACCCTATCAGGGATATATTCATTTCGTATTTTGTCTCTTTAAGTGTAAAGCCACTCATCCACCTAATCATTCTCATCTCGGCTACACTTAACTTATTATTATGCTTCTCTTTTAAAGGCCAACATTCAGCGCCATAGAGCATTGCAGGCCTCACCACCGTCTTATAAAAATTTTCTTTCGGTCTAAGCGGTACTTTTCTATCACACAAAAGACCCG